GCAGTAGATTCATTGCTGGCTCTGCTTTTGGGCCAGACACACTGGAACTAGGTGACTGAGCAGTTAAGAGCATGAACCAGTAGGAAGCCCTGATTTCAGGTTTAGGAAGGAACACAATAATTGGAGATGGTCTGAAGGTGGTAGAAAGAGGAAGCAGAGCCAGGAGAACAAAGGAAAGAGCAGTGGGATGGCACATGAGCATGAAAAGTGGACATGATGGGATTACCCCAAATATTTTAGCTGTTCTCATATTCTGTGCCAGATGAGCAGACCCTAAAACTAGACATCCATGAAATGCTGGTTGTACAGTAATCCTACTGTATTTTGCAATCATGCTCTGCAAAAAGTGGCCCTTGGGCTGAAAAAGGTTGTTATACTTCTGATTTAGTCCAGTGAAAATTGGGCATGCTTAGTGGCCATGAAGTATTAATTGCTGGGAGAATAAACCAAAGAGGGGGAAATGGCTTGGAGAGCCCTGGAAGAGGACTTGGCTTACTCATTAGAATCTGGAATGTGAGCACTTCATACTGCATTCTGTTGAACAGTTTTCTTGTTTCTCTCGAAAGGTCCCCCCCCCATTTCTCTGCCAGCTGCTAATACATCCCACATTCGTGGCCTACTATCATAATTTCCATAGCCAAAACACTGAGTTCATACTAGAACAGAACAATTTAGAATGGGAGCATGGATTTTCTCCATGACGATCTGTCCCTAACCTGGTCCTTCAGGTCTTCCAATGCTGCACCCATCACCATTGTAACAGAGTCCATCCACCTTGCTGCTGGTTGTCCTCTATTTTTATTCAATATCATCAAGATTTTCAAACTTCCATAGCCCCCTGAAGCTTCTGTCAGAGGGGGAGTCAAGATAATGCAGTGCATTGGACAGAAGAATAATATTTCAGACAGATCTAATCATTATTGTTATCAAAAGCTTCGAGGGACACCCCGTTTGAGGGATGGCAACACAGTTTAGAGGGTTTCCCAGGACCCCCAAATTATATATTGTTTTCTTTTAAAAATTGCCCAAATCTTCTGAGATTTCAGTATCCCCACCTGAAATATTTCAAGATTTTGGATGAAGATGCCAAAACCTTGTAAGATTTCTGCCATTGTTCAGAATCGCATGTACAGTATTTCAGAAAACTCTCCTTTAGATTTATTTAATTAATTATTTTCTTGGTTTTCCTCTTGAATTTTCCTTTGTAAAGCAACGTTTTAAACATAAGCAATTAAAAAAATGTTATCCTTATGAACCTCTTTTAGATTTGCCCCTTTTTCAGGTTTGTCCTTTTATTTTTTCCAAGAAAATGTGGTCATTGTCACTATAGATCACCTATAATATTCCTGCAGGTCACCAGCCATCTCAGGATGACAAGCTGGGGATCACAGAAAGAGAAGGGCAGCTAGGGGACAGGCACAGTTACTTCTCTTGATAAAATCCTGTGACTGTAACCAGATGCGCGGATTCCCTGTTTTGTCACCGATGGGAAAGAGGGTCTACCATTTGAAAGCTGGCAGTGGAGGTGAAAGACGAAAACTTTCTAGGCATGATGAGCTACTAGCTGCGACTACCTTAGACATCAAATCAAAGGCTGAACAGGAAGAGGATAATATAACTCCAGGACATTAGATGTAGATCCAGCTGAAAGCACCACAGTCCACAAACTAGCCGAAACCCACCCTAATTTAATTGAAACATGCATTGCTTTAAAAATTAAGGGACAATTACAGAATGAATTTTTGGTTCAGTTGTTTCATCATAATTATCCAAGAGGGATGAAGACATTGTTTTTGTTTTCATTAGAATTTTAGGCTAATTAAGAAAGTAAATGTTTTAGGAAGAGCTTCTGTACGTCACAGGTTAAAGGAAAGGCTGGAAGGCAAAAGAGGTAAAAAGGAATTTGTTCCCGAGGGTTAGGTGTTTGTGGAGGTCCTGTTGAGTTTTTTTTTTTTTTAATTACTGATGTAGTTTCTTTAGTTACACTTTTTAAATACTATAAGCTGCCCAGAGTCTTTTTGGAGTTGGGTGGCCTCAAAATCCAGTACAAAAATAAACCTAGGAAACTGTTAAGATATCAGTACGCCCACTCCTCATTTAGTGGCTGCCTCGGTTAGTGACCATTTGCAAATATGATGTAATAAACAGTAATAATTATTTTCTGACCAATGCATACATTTACAATCAAATTTTGTGTGCCTGACAACAATGCATGCCAGAGTGAGAGTAATGGTGGTGTGGTTGTACAAGAGAACTTTATTTGAATGAGACAGCAGCAACCAGTGATCTTTGCAGCATGTCTCTCTCTCTCTCTCTCTCTCTCTCTCATGTGTTCACTTAGTGACCATTCCACTTAACAACCTGGTTATTGGAACAGAAGTCAGTCACTAAACAAAAAGTGGGTGTAAGGTGATGTCTGTGTGCCCTTGTTAAAACACTACCCTGGACAACTGCGTGGGGACCTCAGGCTGTAAGCACAAAGGTTACTTCAGGCAAAAGGAATGCCAGATGCAGCCTTCTCTGTTAGACACTAACAGCATAGGATTGGCTGGATTTCACACAGTACTAGTCTTTAAACCATGTTTTGCAAGCCATAAAGGCTATGTTCATGCAATGCATATATTATGACTTAGCATGTGTGAACCTGACCACTGCTACTCTTCTTTGGGGCTGCTCTCTTCAGAATTTTTGAATGAGAACACAATCTCTTCAGAGAGACTCCAAGCCAAAGAAACTCCTATTTTATAAATTCTAGGACAACATGGACATCTGGGCCAGATTTTAATGGCAATTTTCTCTCCCCATCAGATACTTCCCCACACCATTTCAAAGGCAGGAAATCAGACTCTGTGGTCATGCTGGGATGCAAAGAAGTGACAAGCAGCAGAAAATGCAGTTGTGTTTCCCAGCTTCAATCAACTGGAGTGTTACGCATGTCTTTTGAGTAAAGCAATCTTGGAGTGTGTGTCAGGTGGGATATATTTTGCGGAAATGACTGCCATGTGGCAGCATAAAAGGGCAAATGCCCTGCCAGTGTGAGAAAAAGGTCAGCATCTCTGAACATGCAAAAGCCCATAGATTCGAGAAGGTGCCAGCAATGACTCTAGGCTACCACTGTACAGGATCGATGGACTCACAATGAAGACGACATGACCTGGGACACTTTGTGCATCATATCACAACCAGCATTCCAGGTTGTAACAGCTCAGTCAGCCTAACTTGTGATATCAGTTCACCTGATACCACAATCAGCAATAACTCAACTACAAGCAGCGTTTTTAAATAATTTTTTAATTATTCATGTCATTTCTCTTCCAGTCGGTTGTATTCTTTATATGTTGGGCTTTTTTTTAAGTGTAAGCCACCCAGAGTCATTTAGGAGTCAGGTGGTCTATAAATACAGTGTTGATGAATCTTTTATTATAAAGGACAGTCCTTTATTTCAGAATAATCTTTAGGTTTGTTTATTTCTCGAAAACTCACTTTTGTCCTTTATTTTGGTCACTTAACTTTTACTGTACAAAGGGTACCACTTAATGCACAGTCTTTCACATTCGTGTGAAAAATATGGAAATTGAATTGTCTTTTTTAAAATCAGTTTACATACAGTATACTGTTTTGTTTTAGATATTTTTATTAGAATATGTATTTTTGTATTTCTTGGTTTTGCTCTTGAATTTTCCTTTGTAAGGCAAAGTTACAACATAAACAATTATTTTTTTTAATCCTTATGAACCTCTTTCAGATTTTCCAAGAAAATATGGTCACTATATTAAATTAATAAATAAACAGGGGTTGCCCCACCCCAGTATAAATGTTCGAATCCATTTGATAATATGCTTTTTGGTAATAGGTGCTAGAAAAATGCTTCTGTGAATGGCCTGCCATTTTTCTCATCGTAGCAAGATTCTCCTTGCGTGAATACATTACTGTGCTTTTAATTGGTGTACAAATGGCATTCTGAGTAACCTCTCTTCCCTCCACACATACACACCCCAGGGCCTTTTAAAGCTATGCATACTATTGTTTCCATGGCAATTACAGTATTTGCAAAGTTAATGTACAGCCACTGCCAGGCACTCTAACCTTTGTAGGGATGTTGACTTCACTGTATTCAGTTAGGCTCTTACTGCTATAGAATTCGTATATTACAATAATGAAAAAAAAAATAGGGAAAAGATGCAAAGGAAAGGTTTTTAAGATTACCCGGGTGACACATCTCTGCACGAGGCGAAAGACATTCTTTTTATAAAACACGGAAGAGTCATACTAAAGCGCGCTATACCTTCTCTCCTTTTCTTAAGATCGGAGGGAATCGAAGACGGAAAACACCGTTTCCGTGATGTCGCCATAGCCAAGCAATAGAACACGTGAACAAAACGGGTCCATTTCACGCCCAAAGCTTCATTCGGAAGTACTCAAGCGATTATGTGAACTGGGTAGCGGTGCTGACTACAAGGGAGAACCTACACGGGCTATATCTATATCTATATCTATATCTATATCTATAAATAGGGTGACTGTATATATCCTTCGAAAAAACACCACCCATTTCACAATAATGGAAAAGGAAAGGATAAAGTGGCAAGGGAAAAATAACTGGTGTCTTTCGGAGTAGGCTTGCCAATCGAGTGTCACTCACCCTCTCCTGCCCCCACCGGAAGCCAGCTAAAATAAAATAAAGCCCGGCTTTTGCAAATGCACTGGTGAAATCCTTCTGCAAGCGGTTATTGCTGCCCCCATAAATCAGCGGCCCGCCACCCCATGACCAACCCCGGCTACTTCCATTGTGTAGCGCTGCTGGCGCTCAGACCCGGCGAGTGCGTAGAGCCCGCCGCCCTTGTGCGTACGCAGCCCCGGGCCTTCCCAAATAGGGGAGGGGGCGGAGGTGGCGCTTTGTCGCACTTGGGCTGACTTTAAAAGCGCCGCGCGCTC